ATATTGTATATATATATTGTATATATATCAACCCTCAGAATTAGGATAACTGAGGTCGGCATCAGGTCGGCAAAAATTATTTGATACAAAGATCTGACCATAAAACATAGAAACGAGGTCAGCAGTTTTTTGCCGACCTCAAGCACTTTCAAGTTGGCAGTTAGGTTGGCATAGCTGATCGCCGACCCTAATTCCGAGGGTTGATATATATATATATATATACATATATATATATATATATATATATATATATATATATATATATATATATACAACTATAAATTTGTGTTAAGATAAGCATGGTGACGTCACTAAATATATACATCAACTATCTTATAGTCTATCTTATAAAACTAGCAAATTAGTACAAAAGCAATTTTTTTCGATAATGCAAAAAAAAGTGGTAAAAAAATCTCATTAAATCGCACTTGATTTTTGAGATAAAAGTTGAAGTGCAATAAATCGCCCAGCAATTTTCCCTTTAAAAATCACTTAGCAATTTATTGTATATGCAATTTTTAAACAAAAATTACGGATAATTTTGTGTTTTTTTTTTTGACATAAATCCAATTTGTTGGATTTATGGCAAATAGTTTTCTCTAAGAATGTTAATGTTTTAGCATGGTGAAAAAAAAATGCTAAGAATCCTTTACATTATCTATTAAGTTACCTTTAACCTTTGCTATCCTTTAGCCTCACTGCTTGATACTGAACCTTAACCATCAATTCACATGGTATCAATTGAGTCAAACCTTTTTATAAGCACACAAAAAAACTAAAACTCCAATAAAAATGAAAAACTCTAGTTTAACACATCATGTGAATTAACAGATGAAATTAGTTTTGAAATTGATACACCCATATCTACTTTGTAGATGTGAGTGTAGCAGTCTACATCCATCAGGACTTCCACGTCTAGTAAAAAATCTAGATCACAGACATCTTCCTTTTCACAAAATGCATAAAAATAAATCAACTTTTGCTGTTGCTTTTTTGTTTGTTATTTTTTGTATTAATAGATGAAATAAACTCCTGTTCTTAAAATTTTTTTAATTAATAACTTGGATTTTTTGTAACTTTTTTAATTACCACGAGAATAACAATAATTATAATATTCAATTTCCAAATTAGATTTATATAATTTTTGAAAATACTAGATGATAATAGCAATCTTTGCAACAATAGTGATTTTTTGATTAAATTGAGGTATGCTACGAGAATAGCAATAAAAATGCAATATATATATATATATATATATATATATATATATATATATATATATATATATATATATATATATATATATATATATATATATATATATATATATATATATATATATATAAGCCCTTGAAATTAGGAAAAATGATCTTAAACTGTTCGGCATCATCATGAGGTCAGTGATTTTTTGCCAACCTGAAAAATTTTCAGCTCGGCAGTTAGGTTGACATTGCTGAATGCCAACCTTAATTCCAAATATACACATTTCTTGAATGCTGTAATAGCATAAAATAAGTAAGCATTTTTAAAAATAACACAACATCTTAAAATCTTGACATGTTTCATAATTTCACATTACATTTTCAAAAGATGTGTTTAACAATTAGAAAAACTCTGGCATAAATATTAAAAATTAGAAGACTTTACAGAAAAATAACGGACAAAAACTTTACATAATAAGCCAATAAAATAATTACACTCAGTAAATAACCAATCAATATAATCAAAATAAAATAAACTTTCAATTATTTTTAATTAAATAAATAATAGACATGATTACAATTTCCATTGTTACAATGGAAAGTTTGTTTAGTAAGAGAAATATTCCTATTTAATGAACTTTTACTTTTAATTTATATTTATTTGAAGCAGTATCTAAAATCTTAAATGAATTACAATTAGACAAGTTTTTTCAACTACAGGATTTAATAAAATATCTCCAGCTGCTTTAAATGTACTTGTCTCTATTGATTGTCAATAAATAGAAAAATTAATCAAGTTAAGAATGAAAAAAAAAACAATTGAAAATAAATACAGCTATCATTCTTTCTCTTCTTTTTTTTATCATTTCATTTCGATCAGTGTTTTGCCCCTGTACAAAAAACTGAACAAAATAATTTTCTGCTTTTACATCATGGGTAAAACACTGAAATTTTGTTTTAGTCCATGCTTTGATTTCATACATTTAAATTGTTCTAAAAAATTATTGAAGATTATTTGAATTTTTATCTTATACAGACTGATTAGGGACTCTCAGTCTAATATCTTGCCTTATTGCATAAAAATTGAAAATACTAACTAATCAAAAATCTGCTGGACTGGAAAGCTACTTTTAGTTTCTAGCAGCTACTATACTCTTATTACAAATTTTTAAAACATGTTGCTTATTGTTGAAGTCTAGAAGGAACATATAGATAAAGTGATTTTAAAATGTTGTCTTTCTCATATATAGATTTTGCACATCAGAAAAAGAAGCCATCGCTTATCATATAAAACTTATCATAATAAACCTATCAACCCTGATTGCTTTACTGCCAATAGATAAATTATGACACATTTCAGAAATTAAGTTGTGCAAGTATTTAAGCAGATTTATTAAACAAATAAAAAACTAAATATGTTATATATACAAATTTGACTAACATCAGATTGTTTACATCCCAATGCAATATCCCCCAAAAAAAAATAAAAAATATGCATCATTAAATAGGATAAAGGTGAGTTTAATCCTTTAACCTGTTTTAAAGGATGTTTTGGAGGTATATTATTATTGAAGGTATATTAAAATATTTGAGAATTTTTTGGTGTATTAAGGAGTTACGATAATGTAAACTATGGTTTGTATTTTTTTTTAAAGGCACTGGTATAAACTATAGAAAGAAAATAGAAATTTAGAGTACTAGAAAAGAAAAATCTGAAGGTGTGTTAATCGCTGTGAAAAAATTGGGGGTTATCTTTAAACATTTCAAAGCCCTGGTACAAGCCAATAGAAATTGAACATAAGGGGACTTATTTTAAATGGTACAGTAGAAACCTGTAATAAACCACTCTCGTGTATTAAAGGTCTTAAATTGATATGCATTAAAGGTCTGAGACTAATCAAGTGAATAATTAGCAGAAGTTAAAAACCTAAAGTTTTATGCAGTACTTTAAACTTCAAGTTGCAAAAGTGAAACTGTGTTTCTTTTTATAAAATATTAAAAAATATATATTTTCACTGATTATTTTTTTATTTTTTGTTCTATTTAAAGACAATAAAAGCTACTTGCCAGAATATCATAATTGAGGCATATATTATACTAACTTTTTGGTTTTCAAACAGAGAAAATAAGTTTCGATTAAAATAAAAAAAAATGAATCATTTTAAAAAAAAAGTTAAAATATTATATTAAAAAAAAAAAGTTAAAAAGTATATTAAAAAAAAAAAGTTAGACTCAAAATTCAAAACATTTTAATTTTTTCTTCATAAATTTTTATTTATAAAAACATAAAAATAATATTTAAATATAATTTATTAAAATAGTATTTTTATGTTTTTATAACATAAAACTACCATTTTAATAAATTATATTTAAAAAACTAGACAAATTTACTAAAAAAAGTTTTTATAGCATCAAGAGCAAGATACAATGCGAGATACAGTAAAATAATCTGAATTAGCTTAATGATGAGACAAGCACAATGAGTTTTGTCTGATAGAACTAGAGATAATAGGTTGAATGAGCAGTAAACATTATAGTATTTGAAGAAAAGAGAAAAAGATGAAACCATAGGATGATAGGATAATGGATCAAGCTTGGCAGATAAAGCATGTCTATCTACATTTATAGTACACTTTTGGATTTTGTTTAGAAGAAAAATTTTTGTTTTTCGAGGGGAAGGGGAGGAGAGTCAATTTTGTGACGGCTTGTTACGAGCGGGAAGGGGTCTCTGATTTTGTGACGCCACTTTTTTTTTTTTTTAATTATAAATCTAGAGAAGACTTTCTTTTAATTAAAAGAGTATCTGACCAAACCACAACCTACAGTTGATGTATCTACATGTTGATTGTAAAATCAATTGTGCCTAAATCTTACTTAGTCAATATGTACACTCTGTTACGGCCATAGGCGCAACGCGTTGCACCTACAGTTGTAACAGTCTATGTGGAGTGCATGTTCTGCACTTTGACTTTATATGGTCAAGTGCAGAACTTTATTTAGTTGATGAACTTTTATTTTAGTTATTTTAGTTTGCTATTAGTCATGTTAATAAGTCCGAGTGGATTCCATTTCCAGCTTGTAAACCAAGGGTTTGAGGTTCGCCTCTCGGTGACAAAATTTTTTTATTTTTTTTTAGTAAGGGCACAAAGATTATTTAGTTGAAGCACACTTTTGTGTGCTTCAACTAAATAACTTTTGTAAACCTCAAACCCTTGGTTTACAAGCTGGAAGCAGAACCCGCTCGGGCTTATTAACATGACTAATAGCAAGAAAATCATATTCATAAAATAATAATTTTGCATGTTTGTATCGGAAAAATAGTTATTTAAAATTGGGATGATCTTTAGGATAGCGATGTTAATTTATACAATTTTACACAAAACTATTAGTGACAATGTTACAATGCGATATAAGGGGAGGGGGTCAAAAATGTCAAAAATTGCATGACGTATTTTATAGACGACCCAATATTCTTTGAAAAGAATATTGGGTCATTAATATTAGGAGTTACTGGAAAATAGTAATCTTTTTTTTTTCTAGTAACTCCTAACTAGTTTTTTTTCTAGTAACTCCTAGTTGTTGCTTGCAGTCCTGTTGGGAGTGAATTAGTTTTTATGTAAAATCATATAAAAAAAATCATTAGGTGGTTTAGAGTTGAGTTGAATATTAAGGAACATTTTTGAAAAAAAAAGATTTTTACAAAAAGAAACTTTTCTTGAAATCCTTGTCTTCTTGTATTTTTCAACAATGAACACAAAATGACATAACATTTTTCAAAGCAATAAACACTATACTTACCTATAGATATTGCTTTCAAGTACATTGGCACATAACTGCCATCCTTGATCTTGTTTTTTAAATTCTTCAAAGTATTTGAGAATCTAATTAAATAACAAAACATTTGAAAGTAGTGAGTATATAAAAATTTGATTAGACAACATCATCTCTAAGCTAAGTACTCTTACCTGCCTAATAAACAGGGGGATGAAAACATCGATTGATTTGTTAATCAACCTCCTCTGCCTATTTGTCTCTTGCCCCTTTCTCCCCTTCCACCTTTCTCCCCTCCCTTATAGTTTATTAATTTTGAAGAAATCTAAAACAGTTTTGCAACTTTAAAAATATATGGAATGTAAGAAAATATTTTTTTGATAACTTTGTCATTGATTCTCTGAAAATAAATAGCAATAGCAATCAAACACCCCTCCATCAAAATCAAACACCCCTCCACCAAAATCAGAGTGCCTCACAGAAATTACTTAATATTACAGGTTATAACACTAGGAGAACTATTCACTTAGAAAAACTTAAGGAGAACTATTCACTTAGATATAAAAGATTAACTGATAATAATATTATGGAATATAACTGATAATAAATGCTATGGAATGTATTTTTTTAATACTGAAAAACTAAATTGAATATTACTTTAATTTAGTTATTCAATATTAAAAAAATACATTTGGTTTTTATAACATCAATTAAAGGAAGATTCCTCAACCTACCTGTGATGATAAGGATGCTGGTTAAAAGTTTAGAATTATTGAAACTGATATTCCAGCATGCTACAAAACATCTCAAATGATTACTCCAAAATATTCAGTTGAGGTTATCTGGTCAATCGTGTGACAAATATTTTTATATTTTTTTTGTTTCTCTATGCTTTTGTACCAAACTTTATAAATTGTGTTTCACATAATATATAAAAACATATAATAAAAGTTATTTTGAAAAATCAAAGTTATTCACCATAAAAAATACATACTTTTTAAATAAAAATAAGTTATATTATAATATTCTTTAATAATTTAAATAAACATTTTGATAAAACAATAAATATTGATCAAAAGTAACTTGCCACTTGATTTTAAAAAATTTCGCATAATAAAAAACTGTTAGTAAAAATCAAAGTTTTAAAGTATTCCAAATGTAAACTATAAATGTTTAAAATAATTTCCTTTTAGTTTTATATTTGAGTTAAATTTTATTTTTGTTATTTTCGAATTAATGTTTATTTATTTATTTTCTCTCTTTAATTAATTGTTATATATATATATATATATATATATATATATATATATATATATATATATATATATATATATATATATATATATATATATATATATATATATATATATATATATTTTATGTTAAGTTTAATTTTAGATAATTTTGTTGCATGAATTTTTGAAACAACTAATATTTCAAAAGATGAAAAAAGCTGTGGTCAAGTTGTCTTAAGGTAATATTTTATGCATGTACAGAAAAGGCTTTTGAATGCATGCACTTCCTGTAATAGCCTGGTAGAGTTAAAAAGTAAAGCAAGTGAACCCAAACCTTTGACTGGTAATATATATACATATATATATATATATATATATATATATATATATATATATATATATATATATATATATATATATATATATATATATATATATATATATATATATATATATATATATATATATATATATATATATGAGGAGCAAACATTCAAACCGTGTTTTCTCCAAAAAAAAAAAAAACTGAGTTATTGATGGTTTCTTGTAGTCCATGTTAAATAGCACCAGATTCAAGCCTTAGTTTCAGTCAAATCATGCTTTATCCTATTTAAAAACAGCATGCAAAACTAACTGTTCAATCAAAGAGTGTTTTCTCCAAGGTCGGTGTTCAGTCAAACAGTGCTTTCTCCAGCTGACCAATGGGAGCGGTCCTCTCTGATCACATGACTAGTTGGCATAAGCTGTTTTAACACGTGGTTCAGTACTGAAAGTAAGGTTATGGTAGGTAGTTCACTAATACTATAGCTCTACAATTTTATTAGTTTCAATCTTTCGATTTCAAATTGATGAAGTGGTTGATGGTATTTTAGTAAGTATTGGAAACACTGGAGCTCGTAAAAGACAGGCAACTGGCAAAAGAAGAAAAGAAGAAAAACAGAAGCGTTATTCATCACCTGCAGGAACCAATGTATACATTCCGTGCAAGCATTCAACAAAGAAGTTCTCATGTTGTGATATTAGACCTTACGATGTAAAAAAACTGAGGGACAAACTTTATAAAGTTCCTGACAAACTTCGTCAAGATTCAATAATTAGTTCTCTAGTTGAAACAAAAAATGTTATTCGACGAAGGCCTAATAACCCTAACCTAAACAAGTCGCATAAGTCAAGCTCTTAACATGCCTTTTCTACAAACTACTTCATTGTTGAAAATAAAACGAGAATTCCTGTTTGTAAGAATAATTTTATTGCCATTACTAAAGTAGGAAGGACAAGATTGGCCAATATTGTTTCCAAAATCCATGCTGGAGATCCTATTGAGGATAGAAGAGGAGGTGATAGGAAAAGTAGCCACAGCATTGATAAAAAGAAC